AAGGCGCCGTTACTGGGACTGCGGTTGGAAATGAAAGAACAGCTAGTGAGGGATTGGTGGATGATTAACAGAGGTCTCACTCCCATTCACCACTTCTCCATCGTAAAGTACCAGCGCTATATGGACCACCGGTACCATCTACGCATCCAGCTTAACCAGATGCATGAGCTTCCTAGCTTCCTGCCAGAGAACTTGCATGCTGGGCCCTTCAAAAAGATTTGATTGAGTGGACGAAGTCCGCGTTTAGAACAAGCAATGTAGCGGAATCGTATCACCGATGAATTCGCTTGCAGATTTCCAATGTCTTTCAAAAGCTAACCCTTTTCCAGCTTCTTTCGCGTTTTGATACAAAAGCGTCACGCTCCTCTCAGGAAAATGCAGTGATTGCATGGAGCCGACAGTCGTGCCATGTGTACCCTTTGAAGCCTAAAGAGAGTGAGTGGGTCACAGCTGAAGATGCTTTCACAGAAAGCTGCTGTTTAGGGTACCGCTCGAAAACGTCGACAAAAGAAGATTCTAAGAAGGGAGAAAATTGACAGATGCATGCAAGAACACCGTGCACACCTGGAAGACCCTTTTCTTTCAATTGAACCAGTAGTAAATTTTTGCAGGCCTATATCTTGCTTTATATTCAATAAAGTCATGAAACTGTTCACTTGTATTCAAAGCATAAACCTGTTTTTTCATTGCATCAATCTCTTACACTACTCAGCAGTCGATCTTTTGTTACCTAAAAAGAAAAGGACTATGTTAGAGAATCTAAGAATGCAAGCCTGGGCAATCGTATTCTGTAGTAACAATAAAAATGTGATGGTACAAACTATTAACAAGCAAAAACAACAAAAAAACTCAGTGAAGTGCAGAAAATATTGAAAGTTCTTTTGTTGAGCCGAGTTTCATTCCCTTTCTTTTTTCCATGCTTTCAAAGAGTGTCATACACAGGAGCTCTAACTAAGCGAACGCCCAAGTCTCGCTGATTGCCACGATGACTCCGCCATCAACGTAGGTGGTTCGAAGGAAGTTCGAAATTGGGCTCATAGTAGACAGAGATAGCGCAGATTTGTTGAACATGATGAAGGGCGGTAGGAAAAATTTGGATACATTAGAGCCCAAGTTTGGGCTTTTTCTGTTTAGATTACCATTGTTGTTAGGCGAATCATTGTGGTGTTTCTTTTCTTATTCTAAAGCGATTTTCTCGCTTTGGAATTTCACCTCTGCAGCGAGGTTTGCGTTTGCTCAATTAGGCTTAAAGAGTGTCGTCTTTCATATTGGTCGCGTTTTCAGCTGATTCTGTCTCATCAAAATGAGGAATTCACAAGTATTTTCAACTATCTGAGTAGATCAGTTCCCAGCTTAAAAATGTTTTAAAACTTTAGATCACGTTTTTCTTCTTTTTGCCATATTGTATGTGTAGATAGGCTTGCAAGTGTACCCTTGCAGCTGACTGCTGCCGCAGCCAGCCGCCAGAGGTTTCGCAAATTCTCCGTAGATGCTACTGTAATAGATTTGCCGTCTTAAAGGCAGTGGATCGGCAAAACTTAACAGCGCAGGATTTTGACGCAGTAAATTCCTTGTCGCCCAAGTATGAAAACAGTGCAATCCCGGTTGCACAGCATGCCTTTCTTGCCGAGAAAACTGCTCTCATATTTACAAGCGCAAGCCAATCTACGCGCCCGGTCGAGTTGGATTTCCTTCCCACCAATGGAGACTGCCCGCCGCAGTGCTATAACCATTGGGTCCTGCAACGATTCAGGGTCATCAGCCTTGCTCCACTCGTCCAACTTCAGAAGGAAGGGCATCGAAAAATGCAGGTTTTCGCCGTTTTCAAACTCTCTAAAGAGGATTTTCGGGATTAGCGTATTGAATAACCCCAGGTAAGCAAAAATTTGACTAGGTTGAGATTTGCCGAGCCACTGCCTTTAATCTGTCTTTCCTAAGGAAAGGTTTCCTGCGCCTCGTCGCGCTGAGGTGCGATGTCAACCTCAAAGATAGCATGATATCCTCGTATCATATTCCTGAGGAGCTGAGAATTCATCTTATATATAAAGCTGAATGTCTGCCTGTATGTATGTCTGTCTGTACGTATGTGCGGGATAGAAATTTTTATTTCTGAACCGATTTGGACCAAACTTGGCACACATATACTCCGGGGCAGGGAGCGTGTCATAGGCTACTTTTCGTTACCGATCGATATCGATTTTATCGATTTTTTGCAAAATTTGAGCTAGGGGGCAAAGTTTGGTCCCGGGCGGAGCCGAGTTTGCCATCTAGTATTTCATATAGACCATGCAGTGAATAAAAAACGTACACAAAATTTGCAAATATTTGTAAACACGGGAATGAATAAGCAGGGGTAAAATTTTTTCTATTATAAACTTGGTCATCAGAGTGCAATAATCGTGTAATGACGCTATAGTTTCAAGAATTTCTGATTTTTTCCATTGAAAAAAAACTTGAAAATCAAACCCACTTTGTTATGAATGCTTGAGACTTCGAGATGCGGTTCCGTTGAAGCGATTATTAGGGGTGGTTCTTTTCAACCGTAGAGCATTTTTTACGACTTTCTTCTTTGGATTTGGGTTCCAAATGTTTTATTATTAATTTTCATTTTTTTAAATGTTTGGGAAAAAAAGAATTTTTCACGTTAGCCTGAGCCTGAAGCTGATGTTGCAAATGAAGTGACATTTTGATTACCTATCAGGGTGTCCCGTAATTATTTACCGTTTTTACCCTAAACATCAGCATTTGTCGAGAACTAAAGCACTTACAAAGGGCACAAATACATGATCGTACTTCTGCATGTACAAGCTATATGATCACGTGTGTGGGAGGAGTTCAGAACGTGTAGGGGCGAAGTTTGCCATTTTACTCCATTCAATTTCTAGCCATGGAAAAAATACGGAAAGTGTAGAGTTGAATGCTCGATGTGTCAAGCATATGCTAGGATAAATGGGCAATTTTAAAGATTTTTTGGGGCAGAGATACGATTTTTTCCGAGAAGTTCGTTTTTGACTGCTATCATATTTGAGCTCAGAACTTCAAGTGGAATACATTCGGGCAGACTCCTGATAGCCATCTTATAGAGCTTGCTTTGCTCCGTCGAATGATCAAAAAACATCAACTGAAAGAAATATACAAAATGGCGACGGCTACAGTAAAAACGGTAAAGAATTATGGGACAACCTAATAGCTGTCCATTCTATATCAGCATATGTGGCAGACTTCTATCTTTCATCATTGAATCAACTTATTTTGATCTAATTTGGCTTATCTAGCTCTCAACATCTCTAGGTAACGAAATACTAATTTTTGACAAACTTTCTTTACTGGCTTATCCGTGACACTTTCCTGTAATATACTTCGTCCATTCTCCGACGTTAAAAGCAGGAAGAAGAAATTTTCAAAAATCAAAGATTTTCTTGATTTCAAATTCTAGCTATTTTGGGTATTCAACTTGTTTCAATCTTGTGATCATGTTCTTTTAGAAAACTCCTTGTATTGTTATTTGTATAGTATGGAATAATAAATTTTTGTTCAAAATGATATACAGGGTGTTCAAAAAATATGAAACTGCTTGATCGTTAATAACTCCCTTGCTGTCAAGTCTTTCGCCGAACTTGAGGCACCATTCTGTGGAACGAGTTTCAACATATACAGTATGGAGCGAATCACCGATCGCTTGAACTTCCAGCATGTGGAACCATTGTGAATTATGCCATCTGACAAAAACTTCTTCAAAAAACTCGAAAAGTCGTGTACTACGGTATTCGCGCACGCTCATTCCACTACACAACTTTTTACGGGTGTTTCTTTAGCTTTTTGATGGCGTTATCACATTTCTCGCAAATTCTGGGAATTCAGTTATCAAGACTTGCCTGGAATAACTTCGGAAAGAAGCGTTACAGTAAAGTGGAAATTTCGTATTCGAAATCCGCGGCTTCCATCACCATAGTATAAGTATTATTGTAGTATAAGAGTTCTTGGCTTGTTTGGTTTTGTTTTGAGGCAAAATTCGGCCTTCAATGGCCTAAACTTTTTGTAGAAGTTCCCTCTATAATAATACAGTAATGAAGAGCGATCGATGATTAGCTCCATAATGATTTAGGTTGAACTTCACTCTACTGAATGGTGCCTTCAAGTTCGGCGAGAGACTTGAAAACAAGGGAGTTATTAACGATTAAACAGTGTTCACATTTCTTGGGACTCCCTGTAGACATTGAGGTTATCAAGCTATCCTTAAAGTCATTGTCCAGGTCAACTTGGGGGTACTGGGATCTTGACACAGTGTGAGAGCACAGCTCCTGACTAACGCAACAGTCCAAGTGCGATTGAAAAAGGTGGAATCTGAAGCGAGAAAATCGTATCGGACGTGTTTGGAAAAAAAGGGGGCGGTACTCCAATCCCGCCCCCTTGACAAGTTTTGACGTGGCCAATACACTAGATCTTGAGCATTCGCCACGTCAAAACAACGCGATTTTCTCGCTTCAGATTCCACCTTTTTCAATCGCACTTGAACTGTTGCCTTCAGGAGCCGTGCTCTCACACTGTGTGAAGATCCCAGCACCCCCAAGTTGACCTGGACAATGCCTTTAAGGTGATAACGCACCTCAGCGCTAGAGGTGCGAAGGAACCTCTCTGCAAGAGTTCTAGACGAGGAGCATAATTACTGTACTATCTGCAGCGGCTTTGCTGGCAGTTCCAGGTTGGCTGGCACAGCAGGTCGGCTACCACTTGCTATAGTAGGAATATTATTATTATAATACCCAATATTTGTATTCGAATAACTTATTCGAAATATTTGACTATATATTCGAATAATTGATTATTCGAAAAAGTCCATTTATTCGAAAATTCGGATAGTCAAATAAATCAAAAAGGCCTTTATTCGAAAGAAATTTGATTTATTTTTAAATGAGAAGCATCAAATGCATATCAAAGTTATCTGAAAAGTTTTGTTTAATTTCTATTTTGGCAAATGCATATGTAAGCAGCACGAAGTTTTATTACTTACGCACAAAATACATTATAGTTTTTTACAATTTGGTAGAAAAGAGGCATTTACATAAACTAAAAACCGATTTAGCATAACAATCTGCAGGAGCATCTTGCACTAACGGTTCCAGTACTACATTATAGGTGCCCTCCTTCACCTTTTCTTCCACGCGAAATAGAAGCCGAAAAGTCAGTCGATCTCGTGATGATTGCAATAGCACAATAATTTCATGATAGAGAAACTAAATCAAAATGTTCAGAGGAAAAAGTATTTTGAATGTTGAGTTCCTGAAAAGCTAAATCCGTATCATGCTATAGGATGGAATGTCTTGGAAGTATTAACGTTCTATCTGGTCGTTGACATCTCTTTTCGCACAAAGTTTTTCCAGCCCTGAGATGCAACTCTGCAGATCTACCTTCGACTCATACTACTTACGGTATAAAGGAATGTCCGTTCGCTCTCCATTAATGTAGGATTACGGTAGAACTTGACGGCATATATCGTTATTGTGAGATAGGCAGTATAGAGAATCTCAAGAAATTTGAGAATTTGTGTAATGTGTTTACAAGCATTGAATTCACCGCGCAATTTTTCAAATGCCCTTATTGGTGTACTCACAAGCAAATAATTCTGAAAAATAACACTTGTCACGACATCTTCGACATAACCTGTGGGAATGAAGCACTACGGTAAAGTGCTAATTTGCTAATAGTATTGAAGTGAGATCTATAGCCGTTATGAGAGTTTTCAAAGTTCAATTTTTTTCTGCGGCCAAATGCCGCTATATGGTTCGAAATTCACGTTAAGGTTCTTACCGTGACTGTACATTAGTGAAGAGCGATCGATAATTTGCCCATAGACCTAAGTAAACCCAGTTCAAAAAAATGGTCAGGGCTGCAAAGACTGAGGGAAGAGAGATGTCAGTGATCGAACAGTTTTTACATACTTCCGGGATATCCTTTCGCAAATATGATATTTCACACAAAAGTTTGCACTCTCCGGCGGCATGCGTTGTAGCGTGATTTATCAAAGGAAAAAGCAAGACATTATGTTTTGTGAGGACTGACAACGTTAAAACGTTCCACTGTAGTAACTCTATGATAGGCGGCTGCTCCGTTGAGTTGCTACGCTTCTCATTTCCACAAAACAAAAAAGGGCATAGCTTTTGATTCTTTCCACCTTGTCAATGATTCTGAGACGTAATTTCTTAGACAATACAAATACATAAACAAATGGTCGAGCTAAACTATGATTAATGTCGTTTTTTTGCAGTGAAATCTCCAAAGAAGCTCAACTCACATCCATTTTTGGATACTTTCTCCTAGCCTCCTCTATGCGAGCGGCATTATCCTTTTTGCGAAACCCATGTCTGGCCAAGGGATTCAATCCAAGTACAGCAGCAGTGTTTGCTAACGTTATCTAGTAACGAATGCATTGAAAACCAAATGTGAAAGAAAGGCGCTCACGTTTGTAAGATCGAAGCAGTCACTTATTTCATTATTATCCATAAAAAACTTTTCTATAGCTGATAATATATACTGCAACATGACTCGATGAAACAGACAATACAAAAATGGATTTTTGAAAACCTTTTCCTTTGTTGATTCCACGGTTGCGTTTGATAGATTTGAGCGATCTATTAAGCAAGTGCAAAAGTTTTCAGGAATATAGGCATCAAAACAGCTTCTGTAATGTCTTTTGCACCAAATCACCTTTATCTTGTAAACGTGAGAATTTTTTTGGCATTTGAACTGACCTGTTAGCAGGTATCTCTTTGAAAAGACTAATTCCTCGACCATAGTTTCTAGATTCCCTCGAATTTCCAAAACGCATTAGTGCTATGTCTTTCAATGTTTGATGAATGTCGAAGTTGCTCAAACTCTTACGATTAACAGTTGTCTAAACATTTTAGCGTTCACTTGATTGTAGACGGAACAACAGCTGCGTGATGTAAATCAGCGAAAAAATGCAAAGCGTATGCGATTGTTTTGTTTCTATCTCGCTGTCACTAAGATTGATCGTGAGTTGCTAACAAGTAAACTCAGTAAGCACCCTAGTGCACCTGAGCTGTAAGCTTTTTTTTTCAAATTTCAACGGTTTTTAATATGTCTGTTAAAAGCTGAAATTGGTTTAATAGAAGGGATCCCAATACATTGAAATTCGCGAAAAAATTGTGAGAAGTTCCTCGCAATATTCCATCATGATTTTGAAAGCAAGCTCTGAAATCCTTATTGCTATAGAAAAAAGGAGAACTTTTGAAGTAATTTCATGAGAGCTGAAATGTTTTATTAGAGGATAAAGATTTACAATCTTTAAACAGTGTACAACATAAGTTGAATTTTTAAGTGCTGCTGTAGTCTGCATAAAAAATTGCTTTTTTTTTCATTGCTTTCCCATTAAAAAGTCTACATAAAGACTTCTTACAGCTTAATTCCTTACACTGACATTTTCCACACTAATATTTATGCAGGACATTTTTTATACTATTAGGCTGTCTCATAATTTTTTACCGTTTTTATCCTAACCATCAGCATTTCTTGAGGACTGGGGCACCTACAAAAAATCCAAATACGTGGTCGTACTTCTATATATATGAGCTATACGACCACAAGAGTGGGGGAAGCTTAGGACGTCTAGGGGCGGAGTTTGCCATTTTGCCTCATTTATTTTTATTTCTAGCTATGGAAAAAATTCGGAAAGTGTGCAATCGAATGTGCGACGTGTCAAGCATATGCTAGAAATAAATGGAGAATTTTTTAGATACTTTGGAGGGGAGATACGATTTTTGACAGAAAAGTTTGTTTTCAACTGCTATCAGATTTCAGCTCAAAAGTTCATGTGGGATACGAATTGGACAGACTTTTGATAGCCATCTTGTAGAACTTGCTTTGCCCTGTCGAATAATTACCCAAGCCTCATCAGACGAAGGAAAGGTACGAAAAGACGGCAGTTGCAGTAAAAACGGTAAAAAATTATGAGACAACCTAATAATATGGAAAATACATCACAAACTTAGAGCAACTACTAGATAATGATCGTGGGTGATTTTGGACTCTAATTGATTATTTCCACAATTTGACATTGACATAGAAGCCTGTGATGTGCAACTGAAAGTGGTTCCCTTGTAGCAAGAGGTATTGATTGAATTCAAGTTTTGCACACATATCCATACTCTGCACTTTCTGCATGTAGAGCGTATACAGAAAAGGATTAGGGAGGGGGGTGTATGTCAAGATGCGCAATTTCTATTGCCAGGATACCAAATAGCTCATAATAAGAGTTTTATAACATTTCGAAAAAATTTGAATTTTAGAAGGAGATGTATCAAACAGTCGCATTAGTTGCTTGATCTTGCAAGGGAAAGGAATGAAGTACTTGGAAACTCCTTATTTTAAAAAGCATAATATGTTAGTTTCTATGAAAAAATTTGAATTGTTGCTTGCACTATCTGCTTCAATTCATTTTACATATATCTCTACTACTTTAACCATGGTGCGACAGTCACCGCCTTAGCACCGCAAGCACACTGAGGGCCGCGTGCATCAACATACCTGCCGGGGAGGGGATCGCAGCTTCAAAAGGAAGCTTCATATTCTGATCCAAATATCTGGATTTCACGCTGTTTACGGTCCGTGCCAATCACGTGCTCTCTTTTCCGTAAACGCAATGAGCTTCGCGCGCGTATGGCTGGGGCACTCAAATGGACCCCATTGGAGGTCCGCACGCAGGACCATTACGCTGCGCATGCGTAGCTCTTACGCAAAAGGGAGTACGTAATTGACATTGACTGTACCTATCCGTAAGTACTCCCACCACTCTTCACTATGAATACATTGAAAGGGAGCAAGAAGCTGCACAACCCGCATTTTCCAGTTTTTTGTATGATCCCCTGATCATCCCCCGCTGCCAAACGTCTTTTCTTCAAAGTATTTTTCTTCCTTGAAAGTTAACAAAACCTTCCAAAGTCGTACTGTTTATCTAACCCAACAATCTGAGCATATTGCTGATAAGAACAAATGAGTTTTTGGAATATCGACTTTTTGATAAACCCCAAGTTTCGACCTGTGGCCATCGCAAATGTTATGACTTCAAAACACCACTTTTTTGGCAGAAACATGATTAGCATGGTTGGGTTAAATAGGCAGCACAAATGTTTTTATTGACTTCAAAATACAGAAAAATGACTTTATAGAAAAGACGGTCGGCAGCTAGGGATCATCAGGGGATCGAACAAAAATTTGGAAAATGCGGCAGTACAGCTTTTCGCTCCTGTTCAGTATGTTCATAGTGAAGGGTGGCGGGAGTACTTATGGATAGGAAAGCAGCGCAAATCCAGATATCTGAAGCTTCAAGATGTGAGGCTTTCTTCTGAAGCTGCGATCTCCTCCTCGGCGGGATATTAATGCATTTGGAAATTTGCGATGAACTACAAGTTGAATGTTGGGGTTTAACGTGAAATTTGTTTTTTCAAAAACTCATCTGCTGTTATCAGCAACATGCTTAGCATTATTGGTTTAGATAACCAGTACAACTTTGGAAGGCTTTGAAGAATGACTTTGAAGAAAGAAGTACGGCAGAGGGGATGATCAGGGGACCACACAAAAAGCTGGAAAATGCGGCAGTACAGCTTTTCGCTCCTATTCAGTATGTTCATAGTGAAGGGTGGTGGGAGTACTTGCGGATAGGAAAACAGCGTAAATCCAGATATCTGGATCTTCAGGATATGAAGCTTTCTTCTAAAGCTGCGATCCCATCCCCGTCGGGTATGTTAATGCATGCGGCCCTCAGTGTGCTTGCGGTGCCAAAGTGGTGACTGTCGCACCATGGTTAAAGTGGAGATATATGTATTGAGTTCTTGCAAAAATAATGTCCGTTTTGCAAATTTTCACTTTGGAAGGCTATAACTTTGTTCAATTTCCATATTTCTAAACACAGTCAAAACCGCCCGAAACAGCAAACCTTTTGTAACCTACAAGGGAATGATGATCGGTCGAAGTGGCCATTTGGAATGAGCTGTATTAGGAAACCGTCCTCGGTAAGGTAAACTCAAAATTACTTTTGCTAGGTGCCGGGCGGTTTTGTGGGGGGAGTTACAAGGCCATTTTCCGCCGGCGCAGTCGGTGCACCCAGTGATGAGCGAGGCGCTAGAACAAAGCAGAAGTGTTACGGTGGCGCAGTGGCAAGACAGCGGACTACGAAGCAGATGGTCGAGGGTTCGGGTCCTGTTGCTGCTATTTTGTTTTGCAGTTCTGTAAAAAGTCGATTGGGTGACATTGAAAGAAAAATACTCATTTCTAGGCAGTTGAAACAAGCTATTTACTGCAAAAAAGTCACTAATTCTACAATAAGCTATAATCTTCTACAATATGTAATTCTGTGGAGTTTATGATGTCACAACAAGGGGATTCAAATAATATATTAACATGTATGGAATACAAAAACAAAATGCTCAAAGCAGAAGAGCTTCTCGCAGCGCGCACTTGCAAAATTGCAATCGATTCACATCCCATGTATTGACTCTCGGTCTGAACTTTACCTTGCATCATAGGGATTCCATCCTTGAGATCTTATCGCGCTCATTTACACACAATTTTGCTCGTCGCGATTCAAAAATTCCCTTTCATACCCATGGCATGCAGCCGGATACATTGATAACCACCCCGGCAAATTCGAGTCTCCTATTCAGTACTGTTTTTCACCGACTTTGATAGGCAATTGTGAAGCTGCTGATTGTCATCATTTATATTTTATCCGATGTGCGCGCTGCTTTTCTGCATTGAGCATTTTGTGGTTGTATTCCATACATGTTAATATATCATTTGAATCCCTTGTTGTGACATCATAACCTCCACAGATTTACATATTGTAGAAGATTATAGCTTATTGTAGAATTAGTGAATTTTTGCAGTAAGTAGCTTGTTTTAACTGCCTAGAAATGAGTATTTTTCGTTTAATGTCACCCAATCGACTTTTTAAAGAACTGCAAAACAAAATAGCAGCAACAGGTCTCGGACCCTTGACCACCTGCCTCTGAATCCACTGTCTTGCCACTGCGTCACCGCCACACTCACGCGTTGTTCTAGCGCCTCACTCATCACTGGGTGCGCCGGCTGCGCCGGACGAAAATAGCCTTGTAACTCCCCCCACAAAACCGCTCGGCACCTAGCGAAAAGTAGTTTTGAGTTTGCCTTACCGAGGGCGGTTCCCTAATATACAGCTCATTCCAAATGGCCACTTCGACCGATCATCCTTCCCTTGTTAGCGCGCACCTGTACGTACCGATTTCCAAAACGGGAAGAAAACCATCGTTAAAAAGCTTAAACTTTTTCTTTTGAAAACCTCTTCTTTAAGAGCTTACAACTTCCTCCAAGTTTTGTTCGTACGACTGCCAATCAGCTTATTTTGTACCTTCAAGCCATGAGTTTACGTATGTATAGAAAAGACTCTAATGAAGAAATTCTGCGAACGAAAAAGATAAAAATTCAAAAATGCACTTTTTTGAGCCTATTTGTTGTAGGCTTGTGAGTGCCAATTTATGAAAATTTGCAATTCTTCGCGCACTGAATAGCTAAGTTTTTCTTCAGATAATGTAGTCAAGGTGTGCTTATCTCAAGCTTACAGAAATAGGCGAAGCTTTGGCGATTGCTTTAATTATGAGAAATTTTTGACCCATAGAATGTCAGCAGCAAGCATCTATTTCGAGGCGTTAATTTCTCAGTCCAGATATCTCCAAAAATCTACTTAAGCATGCAGTAGGTAAACAATCTTCATCTAATATAATTGCTATGTTTTCAGAAGAATTTCTTTATTTGCTCCTGAACTGTGGTCAAGAAATTGAAAGCTATGAGATTTTGATTTCGAGTGCGGATGGGCAAAATGCTGGTGAAATTCTCACAGATGAGGATAGCAACTTAATTCCACCACCGTTAGAAAGTACATGAAGAGCGCTTTTCGTGATATGCAGATATTTATCCTATATCGTAAAAGAAAGTTTGATGTAATAAAGTTGTTTGCAATATAGGCCTAGAAAAACGGACATTATTTTTGCGACAACCTAATACAATGAATTGAAGCATATAGTGCAAGAAACAATTCAAAATGTTTGATAGAAACCAACATATTATGCTTTTTGAAATAAGGAGTTTGTATTCCATTCACTTTTCAACGTTCAGTGACTTCTTTTTTTTGAGCAAAATACTCAAACATTTATCGAAAGTTTCTACTTTCTTTTCCTTGTAAGAAAATAAGCAAAAACCGGCTGCAGTAGTTACAATAATGCCTCGTGTCCTAACGTTTTGACAGTGGTTTCCTTTTTTACTATCTTTTGGGTAATTATTTCAACCATGTGTCGCAAAACACGTTTACAATGCTGATATCGGTGGCAAATGGCTGTAAGAGCAACTATTGCAAAATCTAGCAAAATCCAAAATTTTTCATTGTATCTTTTGATTCATCTGGATTGGCTGCCTTCCAGCAGCCAATCCAGATGAATCAAAAGATACAATGAAAAAGGCGGGGCTTTGTAGCCTTATTAAGGCGAGAGATTGATAAGAGAGCACGTTCGCGAGAGAGCATGCTGCGTCGCAAGCGCGAGCGGGTCGCCTTGAGGCCGCCAATCTGTTTGAATTAAAGGGTATGTAGAGTTGTATAGAAAGCTTTGAGCAGGAAGGAGGCATATGGTAAGATAGCAAAAACGCTGAAAAAGGAACAGATGTCAAACCCTCACCCATCTGCTTCAAAACTACGGGCTAATCCACCACATTAGTCCTCAATGTTGAACCACTACAAACGTTACTTCAAAGACTTGGCATGTCTGATTTCACAACTGCCCCTCCATGCTGCAGAGCGCTTTTGGGAGAGATATGGGTTTTTTTTAACAAAATGGCATTATTTTAGCTAAACTACTCTCAGCCTCGCAAATCTCCCGCAAATAAAATTCTATGACTACTTCATCACAACGGTTTTACAAGTATGTGAATGATTTCAAAATCAGCGCCTCAATCTCTTCTGGAGATATGCTTCTTGTAGTGATCAGCCACTTCGCGACCCCCTCCCCCCCCCCCCCACATCCCCTTCTAAGTAGTATATCTGTCATATATAACAATAGTTTTGCTTCAAGAAATGCGGGAAAACGCATCTTTCTCGAACGTGTATTATAAAAAAAGATCTTGATTGGAGAAAGCTACGAACCTTCAAAGACTATGGTCTCACTATCAAGTTTTAATTTGAATAGCTATGATCACCGAAAAATTACAGTCTATGCAAAAAGTCTTCAAAGTACAAAGTTGGGGGGGGGGGGGCGTCCATTACTTGTGAATGTCAATTAAAAATTGCCGCGACACGGCGTTACAGTAACTAGGGCGAGAGGGAGCAGGGCCAGAGAGAATGTCACAGAGAAAATGTTGGGGTCACGTTAGCATTTTGAACAAAAAGTACATATTCTGTCATTAGATAAATGGTAGATCCTTAATTCCATTCACTATATATTTCATTTTCCAAGATTTCAGGCCAAACTCTTCCATTAAACAGTAAAATTTGATATGGTAGTGTGAAAACATTCACAAAAGATGGAATAGTATGCCTTGTGAGTCGGCTACCCGAGCTCTCCTCGCAAGTGATTGGTGCCAACCTGTCGCGCGACACCTGCGTAATTGACAGTCACAAGTTATGGGATACACCCCAAAGTTTGCTCTGATAAAAAAGCGGGCCTCCTAAATGTGTAATAAAGCAATGTTATTAGGTTGTTCCATAAGTTTTTTCATATTCGGATCTTCAGTTAATTATTTCTTAAGAACTAGGGCACATAGTAGGTGTAAATTTTTGGCAGTATCTGAGTGGATAGGCTATGGTGTGGACCCCGGCCAGCTTCCCATAGGTACCTGCGCGACGCACCCGCAACGCACGCCTTCAGTGCGTCTCCTGTCCTGGCTTCTGATGAAAATCCTCCTTTCTTTCCCTTTTTTTTTTGTTTTTGGTGTACTATATTCTCTCTATTTTAGGTATAAACAATTCGCGATGACCGGTGACGAGATTATACGTGCTCTAACAGCTCTAAGAGCTTTAGTCTTGTGTAGTAGTCTTGTGTTTTCCCTTTTTTCTCTGAAAAATTGAGATTTGATTGGATACTGAGATAATATTTTTTTAAAAGCTTCCTATATACAATAAGAGTCCCCTTCCGTTTGATGTGTAAGGTGTAGACAGTATTTTAAGTCAAAATTGAGCCTTCCGAGAAGCCAGTAGGCATTTGTTTACTGAAATATCCACTTTTTTGGAATGTTTGACCACTCTAGTTTTTACGTCTACGAAGAGGAATGTTTTAAGAATGCTGTTGTTCTTTAGTTCTTCTACGTATAGCTATTACAACCTATTCATCAGTGCAAGTTCGGAACATGCATCCATTGATTGAGTTTGAGGTATTCATGGAACTTGCCTACGTTTCATTCTTGCATACTTCTCTTTCGTGGGGAACCTAGAGGTTTCCACATCACATTTTTCTCCTTTGTGAGCATAAATATGCTCTACTGCTCATGAGTGAGACAAGAGGCATTGAGAAGGGCGCGCGCTGCGTGCGCGCTGCGGAAGTACCTATGGGAACCTGGCCGGGGTCCACACTATATATAATCACCCATTTGTCGCCGAAAAGTATTCGCGAGTTGTTCCGAACTGACTTGAGAATGATAATTGTTTTTTTTCCAAAAATTCGGAAATTTCTTTATTTTGCTTGTAACTTGTTGTGAATTGAGCTTAGTGCGAACTTTTGAACGCCATCTTGTAGAGCTTGCTTTGATCTGTAGAACGGTTACCCGCATTCTATTAGGAGCTCAAAAAGTACTGATTAATGTCGCTGAAAATTCAGGTGTGAAAAGACTTACGGAGCAACCTAATATTATTTAAGTCAACCTGGAAAATCGAAAATTGCGTTAGTCTACGAATGAAACTGCAGTATACTAAAACCTTCACACCAAGAAATGAATAAGCTCGTTTCAAACTTACCTTGTCAGTTTCCATTTGTTTGTAATGAAATTGAGATATTCATTCGTATGTGCTTTCTTGAAGTCTGGTGGCAAGCGAATAGCCATGAGAGGCATGCGCTCCTCTATTCTGCCGCTGTATGAGTATTGTTGCCGTCCCATTCGATTACCATGATCACCCATTATGATGCTGATTCCCTTATCTAGCGCTCCTAAACATTTTATATAGATATGTCCGCAAGGCAGGTTTCAAATCGCGTTTTTTGGCTCTAAGACCTGTAAGCCCCTAAAGACGCTTTCAGAAACCTCCTACAGGCGTTTTGTTGCCGTTCAAGTGCGGAAACATCAAAACAGGCACACAAGGCACACAACTTGGAAATATCTTTTTTATAACTAGACGCTCAAAGAGCTATGTGAGAAATACAAGTAAAAAGAAGAGTTTGTGCGATGTAAAAGACGAAACTGTGCGCAAATGTATAACAGTTGACAAGATCTTTTTATTCCAAATTAGAAGCAAGAAGGTTCTGAGGATCCTATCTTATTCTTATATATCCTTTTCAACATAGAAAGGATTTTCCGACCGTCTATGAAGCCGAGATGCTGCGCACAATCTATAAATTAGGAACTGATATTGGCTCTTATTATACCAACTGCCGGCAATAAGAAGGCGGCGCCAAACGTATTTCAAAGCCTTATGTTTTGAGACATCTTGCTCAAATGTGCTACTGAAAAGTTTGGAAGCATCTAATTTTTGAAAATCAAGACGGTGGCAGGTGTTTTCTAAACCAAGAAATAAAGTCCCAACGAATCTTGGGCATGCTTATACATCGTCTAATACACCCCATAACAATCACATTACTATTAAAATGCTCAAACACGTCGAGGAGTCTAAAATATTCCACAAGTAAGCTCTAAATTAATTATTACCTGGTAATCTATCGATTTTTCTGTGACTGCGCTTTATCGCTTTTCTGTAATCGTCTCTACCAACGATAGGGTATTATCATAACAAAAAAGAGGCAGTTCAGAGCTTATTCATCATTGTGTGCCAAAATTACGCCAAATTTGCAGCATTGCCACGGAAAACCTTAGAAATAAATGTGCCCAAATTCGTGTTTCAGAATGATCTTACTGCAATCTACAGAAGACAATCTTTTGAGATTTAGAAAGGTTTTGTTCAGAATGTGAGCCAAAGAATTGAACTATCAGTTTGGGCAAAACAAGATTTTTGATTTATATTTTCGTGTTTCCGTTCACGTATTTCCTTTTTGTATAAGCAGGAGTTAATTGTAGGCCACACTTCGCGCTAACACATAGTCCCTTTCGCAACCGTAAGGAACCGTTTGCCTATAAAGTGATGGATCTATGAATTTAAAGAAATTTCCTGCTTTTGAGGAGTATACAAAAAGGCCAAAATGCTGCAGTATTGCAGGGCTCGGCACGAGGTGGCTTTTCGAAAATGCAAAAAACGAAGTCCTCCTTGAACTTTTCAAGAATTTACAAAGTCCCCTTTGACTCTAAACCGTAAACGTAAAGAACAATCAAAAAGACAAACGTCGGCTAAAAAACGTAACCTAAATTGTGTTTTTTCAGCCACAGAAACGACACCTCTTCTGCTTTCTGTCCCAAAACAATACCCAGCTGCTAATAAACCGCCAGTGCGGGCCTTGATTTCAGTAAGCTAATTAGCAAGCATGAAAAAGCAGATTGCCGTTTTCTTTGACTTTTTGAATTTTCAGCTTTACATTGTTGAAGGCAAAGACTGCACTAATTTAGTGCGCAATTTTAGAGTAAGAAAAGGGTTTTCGGATAGACATTGTTTAAGATTGGAAAGCTGCGCTCGCGAACAGATAAACGTCGTTTGTAAAACCGTGACGACGGATTTGGCTGCGGTCTTTGCGCGCACAGGAGCAGAAAACACTCATACACCTCAATTCTCAGCTCAGTCTCTTCCAATGTCTATATGCTGCCATACGTAAGCAGAAAAACCATTCGATTAGAGATGAAAACCTAGAAAATGCAGTTGCGATTGCTGGGAGGTGCGTCCGTGTCGCGCGCGATCGCGCCATCGTGATTTTTCGAATGCCCTATAAGTTTTAGTAAGTGGGAGGATTTGAGATTTTCTCAAATTTTCTCAATGATAGGAGGGGCAAATTCGTGACTATTGCATTGCGCAGTCAAAAAACAAGCCGTCAATTCTGACGCGCGTGCATCTGCATATGTATCTCTGTACCCGCACTGTATCGCGCTTTATCTTTTTGAATTCGAATTGTCTCAGGTGATAAATTCTCTTTTGACTTCAAACTTGTTTGTATACCAAGCTAACTTAAAATGCTTTTTCCTGGAAGACAAAAACGGTCTGAGCTATAATAAGAGCAAACAACGGCTTGTTATTAGACGGAGTAAAGCTGCGTTTGAGTGGCTTAGAGGGCTGAACTCATTTTTTGATGAATATCAATACCAGGTTGTCTCATAATCAATGCACGTTTTTTCATCTTTTTGAAAAAGCTGGTTTTCAAAAGTGACCGATTTTCATGAGATCCCTAGGTATTTGAAAGCGCGAACCTTCTAATTTCTCATAGTGCTTTTGTTTTCGCAAACTTTGTTCAAACCAAAGTTTCCTTCCAAAGAAAAGCGTCTAAAACTCAAAATTCTCTTGTTTTTCTATTTTCATGAAAATGGTCGATTGTTTCGAAAAATAAGCATAGCGATTTCGAAGTTCTCTTCTACGAAATGCTTAGCAGAATTAGGTTTTTAAATGATCCTGATCCAAAAACTCGAACATACTAGTCGATAAGGCTATTTCATGCTGCATTGAAATCTTAAGGTAAAGTGGCCGCACAACTTTGCTCTTACAGCTAGAATAGACCTAGTAACTTACTGATAGAAAGACCTTTACTCCCCTAAAAACGTCGCAAGGTTCCCACGTTTTTCAGGGAGAAAAAATAGGAAATCTTGAGAGAGACAGTTTTCTGTCTTCCTCAATGCTGAAAAGTGGAAAATATTATTTCTTTTGCAGTATTTTTCGCAAAAACTTTGCAGGTTCCATACTTTGCCTTTTTGCTTAACTGATCATTGGCTATATAATGAGGAAAGTCCGCGTCGTTTCAGTGCGTTTATGAGCAAGTAAAGCTTTCTTGAATTCCGAGTTTTCATAAGAATGATTTGGAAGTTACAAGCTACAAAGCTAAGAAATTCTTCTCGGAAAGGCTACAATCCAGCGTAGGTATGTCTAGTATAGCCAAAGATTATTGTTTGCTACTGCGCTAAGAAAGAAGGTTTTGGGAAAGAATTACCTTGATATGAAATTAAAATCCAGAAAAGTGTATCAGTTATGAAACACTCTAATTGAATTCGCAATTTCTAATCGTCCTGATAGCTACTAATCAAAACAGTAAGTGCTTTTATTTTACCTGTGAAATAAAGGTTTTCAAGACTTGAAGAAAGTTGTTCGTCCAAAAGTTCAAGCGTAAAGCCCCATTCATGAGAAATTCTAAATAACTATTCGTTCGCTTAAGTATTGAAGCCTCGCATAAGTATACATGAAGCCACTTACGTTGTCACAAATGTAAAGCCCATATGGCAGATATCTTTGTATTTATTTGCGAAACGACGCCACAAATCCATATAACGTCGTTGAACTTGGTCACCATCTTTACACTGAGTATATTTCCATCTCTAAACAAATTAAGTATACTTAAAATATTAAAATACAAATGGAAATAAACTAGCGGAACATGATTGCCTTTCACTGACCTTATACACAGCAAGATAATAAGTTCGATAGAAATGATCCGCCGGCAGTGAGGTAAAGCCAGGAAGAAATTCTTCCGGTGGATAGTGGAACAAACCACGGTGAGCTACTCCTATGTCTTCATTGAACATAGAACGACATCCAAATTCTAAAAACAAGAAAATTATGCTGTAAAAAATCTCAAAAAACATCCAAGTATTCTCAAAAAGATGTTTCGAAACATAATTGGATTGTGTATCTTGATTTTGGCATATTTCAAATGATTCTAAGCTATTGAAATTTTCATCATTTTCTTGTAAATCTGTTGTTATTTCAAGAGTAATAACATTTTTTATCAAAAATTAACAAGGTCCACACCTTTCTCCATTAACTTCCATAGAAACGGTATGTTGTCTGGATCTATCTTTTGTTTTGAAGGTAAAATCCACTCGATGTTTATATCTCCAAATTCATCTATCTTTGACTGTTTAAGAGCTTCAGGCAAATCTCCGGCAAGGATTGGCAGAATATTTACTGCTGAATTGTCTCCGATCTGAAACGACTCATTCCAGCTTTAAAGGCAGTCTCCAGACAAATCTGGGCACATGGTTCTTCTGCCCGGAAAGTGATGAGAGGGTCGTAGCTGAGTCATTGCCCAAGCGGCAGCGCAAACAGTTCGTTCAATGCGAGAAGGGTTTAAGGATGGATTTTCAGCCGTGTAATTGAATTTTTACGTTGCCGCTTGTAATGCCTTAGTTAGGACCCCCTCATCAGTTTTTAGGCAAAAAACCCTTGCGCCCAAATTTGCCTGAATATTAATCTCTAGGAACATCCGTGATATGGCAATTGATGAAACTTATATACGAAAAGAGGTATGCCACAGAAAACATTTGTATTTTGCACTGGCGGTCCCAGGATTTGCGTTTGGGGGGGGGGGGAGGGGGAAGGGGGGGGGGGGAGAACAAAGAAGAAGCTATTCGGTTGATGCAAAATTAATGGGCGTTTTTCTAGGACTTTTTTCTGGACAACTTTTCTCAATTAAACTTCTTCCTTTGAAACTTTTCATGCTTTATACAAAGCTGCTTAAAATGGACATTTAGCATAGTCCGTTAAGAATTTATAGGGCTCCAAATGACCGCACACAAAACCAGATTTTTGTCGCATTCACTTTTCTGGCCAGAATTCAAGCGCAAATTGAGGCACGTTTTCAGAAATTTTGCCATTATATGTGATAGAAATTCTACATTATGCATACGTAACCATATTTTTTTGAAGCTATCTAAGCTAAGCTACAGGCGCCTTAACATGGATAATGGGGTAATGGTTGCGATCATTCTATGGCCCACATCTTTCTCTTGTAGAATGCAATCCCAAAAGTTTTGCTCATTTCTGTAAGCGTGAGAGTAGAGCATTTTGTTGACAGCTTTAGTAAAGGCATTTAGCTGTTCAGCACGCAGAAAATTAGAAAATGCTATGATTCGGGATTTTGAGTCCCACTGAAAAATGCTGAAAAACTTGGTATTTCTAAATTTTGATTTTTTTGCTTTCGCCAATCTCTTTTTTCCACGCTCTTTCCATATGTATTGTACTACCGACTTGCGGCTACAAGATGGACTACGAACTATGAAGAGAGTTATGTTCTGCTGAAAACGAGACTACAGAAAAAAACTTTTTTTTGTTTTTTGATTCATGTTTTTCCGCCCATACTGATCACCCCTACGGGGGTGATCAGCATGCTCGATTACCCCTCTGTGCCAAATCCCAGCCCCGTAGCTCAAACTTTGCAAAAAATCGATAAAATCGATAAAAGTAATGCACGATTTAAAAAACTAATATTGTATTCGGAATCCCCATGCTCACTTACCCCCCTGTGCCAACTCCCAGCCCCGTAGCTCAAACTTTGCAAAAAAAATCGATAAAATCGATAAAAGTAATGCACGATTTTGAAAACTAATATTGTATTCGGAATCCCCATGCTCACTTACCCCCCTGTGCCAACTCCCAGCCCCGTAGCTCAAACTTTGCAAAAAAAATCGATAAAATCGATAAAAGTAATGCACGATTTTGAAAACTAATATTGTATTCGGAATCCCCATGCTCACTTACCCCCCTGTGCCAACTCCCAGCCCCGTAGCTCAAATTTTGCAAAAAATCGATAAAATCGATATCGATCGATGACGAAAAGTAGCCTATGACACCCGCCGGGGCCCATAGTGTATGTGTGCCAAGTTTAGTCCGGATCGGTTCAGAAATGGAATTTTCTATTCGGAACATACGTACAGACAGACAGACAGACATACAGACATACAGACAGACAGACAAACAGACATTCAGCTTTATATATAAGATGAGTACAATTTGATGTGCGTTGTATTGACGAAAGGCGGCATCCGATAGTCTTTACCACATTTCAAAATGTAGGTTGTATAGAAAATTATAGCAAGTTGAAGTGAAAATTTGAAAAACGTTCTTTATTTTCGCATCAACCTAATCTTTCAAAATTTCAGGAATTTTTCAAAATTTTTGCAATCATTTGCAGTTCTGAACAAGTCAAATGCACATTTCTATGACTCTGCACGTGATTTTAAAAGATTTCGCGGCTTAATCCCTTCTCCTCCTTCCTCCTCCTCTCTTGCACGCATTAGGTTTTTACATGCCACAAGTTTGCTCGAGTAGCTCTCACAATGTTCGGACGCTGCTTTCTAAAGTACCAGATCCTGTCTGAAATACCAGATCATCAAATTAAGTAAACTGAGAACGTAGTAGTTGACGGTTCTGGTGACGTAGTTGCTCACAATCCGTATCGCATCTTGATAGAAGCCATATTCTCCTGATTCAATAGAGATACAGGCAACGGCATGATGCGACTATCAGGATGCGACTTGCCCATTGACTTGCGCCATTTGTGAAGCTCGGTTGTATGCGTGGCTTTTAGTGTTGTGAAACATTACTACGACTCTTTGCCAGGAGATTAATAAACTTACTAAAATTTTGAATGCTTTTTTTGAGTACCCTCAATATGCAGTGCAGTGAGGCCTTTCTCCAAATCATCAGTTTAGACAACTTTTAATGATACTTAGCTAGGAGGGAAGCCTTTTCAGTGAAAGCAGACTTTCCACAAAATCGTCTAGATGTGCTCCAATGGTCAAGCAGCAGCATGCACTTGATTACTTGGATAGCTTCTGTCTACTTCACTCATAAATAAAGGTGAATGTCTGTTTGTTTGTGTGTATGTATGTTTGTACGCATGTATGTGTGTATGTATGTTCCGAATACAAATTCTAATTCTGAACCGATTCGGACCAAACTTTGGCGCGGGGCGTCGCAGGTACTTTATGTTGTTAACTGATAATAATTTCACCAATTTCCATCGATTTTGAGCGTAGTTTGGCCGAGACGACAGTTTGGCTGGGAGTTGATACAAGGGGGGGGGGAGGGGGGAAGGAGGGTGTGATAAGTGAGCATGCTGATTATGAATACTACAATATATTAATGTCCGAATTATCCATAACTTTTATCAGTTTTATCGGGTTTTTATTTTGCAAAACTTTGAGCTACGGAGTTGGCAGTTGGCACAGGGGGTAAAAGAGCATGCTGATTACGAAAGCATACTGGGAAGTGGGGACAGGGGCGGGGAAATCGCAAAGAATCAGAAAAATTACCTCACTGTAATGACAGCGGTAAGCGGAGCCGGGTATGCAAGCTAGTACTTAATAAAGCTCTCTCTGAGTGCTGAGGAGAAGTAACAACTGATTATTTTACCTAGATTTGCGTTCACGCTTCGCACCAAAAAAACTTAACAGGGCGTCCCGAAGTGCTTGGCAAACAACGGAAACAAATTTAAAGTTAGCGTTCAATGCCCTTCAAAGTTATAAGCTTGTTTGGAAAGGCGGCTTCGACCAATATTGCGCAAATTGCAGCACGCCCACTCATCGGAATAGGTCATACTTGAGGATCAGTATTATTAAGTTGTCCCAACGGTAAACTCCTTTTTCAAATAATTTAAGCTGTTATTGTTTTTGCTGTAAATTTAGGGTATCATTCGATAGAGCAGATCAAGCTCTACAAAATACCCACCAAGTGTCCGCCTAAATCGCATTCCTGGAAAGTTTGAAGCTAAAATCGAAAAAAATTTTGTCACCTAAAAATTGGACTTTTGCTACGAAGAGTCCTACAGACCTAATTTGGTCATTATACATTAGACATATAATAGTACTCAAATATGCCTTCACCGAATTTTTTCGGAGCATAGAAAGCGAGAAACAAAAATTGTCCAAAAATGGCAAACTCCGTTCCCAGCCCTTGCCACACATGTCATTGTTTCTACAAGCCTTACTAAGTATAATTTTGAAACCTTACCCCTGTATGTGCTCTTATAATTGAGAAATACCAAGTTGTACATAAAAAAAGCGAAAAAAGTGGCATTTTGGCATTTTCGGAGCACTTTTTTTCTCAAATTTGAGCCCCGGAAAAAATCCACCAAATATATTTTTGGATACTACTATGTGTCTACTATATAAAGACCAAGTTGGAAGTCCGGAGTAATATTCTGGAAGGAGATCCGATTTTTAGGGTAGCTGAAAAATTTTGATTTTTGGCCCAAATTTTGGGTGGATTACCACTTAGGTGGATCTTTGTGCTCTTTCTGGAGAGCTTGCTCCTTTCTATCGAATGGTACCTTAAGTCTACTAGAAAAACAAGGACAGCTCAATTTATCTCAAAATGGAGTTTACTTTTGGGACATAGGAATAGATTGTTGCATAAGTTCTGTCCGATTTGAATTTTTTGAGTTCAAAATGTCATAACTTCTTTCAAAGTCAACTTTTCTCCAAGATCTTAGTTTCCTTATGTTGAGAAGTTCCTTGGCTATCAGATACATACTAAAACTTGCGAAAATCAGTGTTAAGAAAGGAGCAAGAAGTCAAAAACTTCACAGCGTTTTTCTGTAAACCTGTCTTTCTTGACATGGCAATGCTCTCTTATGAGAATTGATGGGCATCTTGTCTAACAAAGGATAGATAGAGATTTTTTCGTAGATTATTGTGCGCCATAAAAGAGCCCATAGCGTTGCCGAGAAATTTTTTTTGACCGAGCAAAAAATTAGCCATTTTTTGACCTCGCTTCAGCGCATGTGTGTATGCCTATTTACGAATTATGAAAATTTTTCATTTGACATGAGCGCCAAAAAAAAATAGGTGGATGGTCTTTGCTAGTCCTTGCTTTACCCTAGCACCTCCAACATTGAAGTCGTCGATTACTTCTATTCGCAGAAAGTTATAGCTTGTAAAACATTTATACAGAAAATTAATGTTTGATAATAAAACTATCAAGATGTTTTCTTCACACAACTGAACTTATCTAGCCTATCACACCCTTATTCCGCAACCATTTAAAAACCCTGGCCTGAAGGGCGCCTTGTGGAGATTTCCTCGCAAGAACATATTTCTAAAATGAGAACGTATCTCGGCCACTTGGAGATTTTAGGCCTGAATTCTCCTTACACTATACACTAAGAAATTTATTGAAATTTGATACGCTTTAGAAAGCGCAAGAAAAGTACTTTCTAATGATACGAACAGTACCGCATTAGAGAAGATCTCTTAGAAACAGCTGCTTCAAACATAAGGCGAAAAAATCGGACAGAACTTATGCAACAACCTAATACATATTTTAGCGGAGCTATGGGTGTGTACAATGGCATAAGGTGGATCACTGCCAAATCAGTTGCAGTTATGGAGCACTTCAAATGTGGTGATTAAGTAGGCGCACATTAGATTAAAAATAATTGGTGTATTGAAAAGACTGAAATACTCCATACTTTGTAATTTCCAGAGCAAACCTTTGCGAATTAGGAGTGTGGTAATAAGTCGCATAGATCACCCGGTCCCACACCGTGCTTTGCGACGGCGGATTGTCGCATGCAATGTGCTTTAGCACATACAGTCGAGTAGATTTAGCGGTAAATATAGTGTGCTTGCACAGAAGGTGAAATGCGGTAAAATTGGCGCACGAAGAAATAGTTTCGACTGTGACGCCGGCCAACTGCGCGCGCAAGATACCCGCGGTACTGACGTGGCTACTTGTTCACGCGCAAATTTCACCGCATTTCACCTTCTGTGCAAGCACACTATATTTACCGCTAAATCTACTCGACTGTACCACCGTCGCTAATTGCCGCAGACTTGACGTCGCATAATTAATGCCGTTTAAAACAGCCTAAATCTGTTGCAACGGTGCAATCTTGGCAGACGTTGTCACCAGGCATTTGTGGCTTTCCAAATGCATCAGCAACAAGTCGTGCGCAATATGATTTTCTACTTTCAGTAAGAACAGTAAAATTAAAAAATACTTTGAATAGCCTTTGTCACTAGTATTTGCTGTCTTCCAAAGCCTCAAGTTTGCAGGTAAATCAAATGTATCCATTTTTATGCAGTGTGTGTCAACTCATATCGGCTTTTTAACCTGTGCTTGCACTCGTACATCTCTGCAACTCTGTATCATACCATACCAGAGCAATACGCCCATAGACGCGTCGCAAGAGATTGTAGGGAGGGCTCATGAATTAGTGCTCAGTCGCAAGAGGTTGCAGAGCGGGCGCTGACAGTTGCATGTACCGTATGGAACTACAACTTTATGGTATTACGGTTCAAAAACGTTTATGTTAAAAATTGAAAGGATTTCTCTTCTTTCCCCATAGTACAAGAAGTAGTGGCTATGTTCTATGCCTACCTAGTGCGCAGCAAAGATAGAGACATAATGGATAAATCGTAGTCATAGCTTTGCTAAAAACTAATGATATTTATAAAACTAAATGCAAAATGAGATTAATCATGAAGTGATTCAAATTAGTGAGAACATAGATTAGAAATCAAAAATGAAAGTCACCTTAGTGTAACCAAAAAAAAGCTCATATCCTAGCTTGTTCATGGTTTCCATGGTACGAGGTAAATGTCGCATGAACATCGTTCGAGAAGTTGAATCAAAAGCGAGAATATCAATAGAGTAATGCAAGTCAGGCTTCTTATTTGGTTTTGACTCATTCCTTCTGCCATAATCATCGAATGACTCCATATCTTTGGCAGTATATATCTTAAACGCGCTTTGAGAAAATATTTGTAGCTACTTCTTCATACTTCACCATGTTAGGCTCCTTGTTCAAATCTCTTATGCCAGGATAGACATGCTCGAATATTATTGTGCCATTTCTGAAGCAGCGTATGCAGAACACATCCCCATTGGCAAAAAATCGCGTATTCTCGGGTGCCTGAAAGTTAAGGTAGTGGTTTGGCTCAGTCTCTAAGCTGTATTCAAGAGATCAACCTCCACTTCCGCGACTTCTCTAAAATCGTTTTTTCCTCTGCCTGTAATGTTATTTCTCAGCGCTCCTTCCAAAAAAACAACCTTAAATTTTTTTTATTGATCAAGAAGGGGCCTGCTGCATACGGCTCACCTTGCATTTAACGTCGTTTGTATATTTTGGATAGGCTGAGTAGTGTGGATGGACGTACATGTATCCCTCGCTGTCCATAGTAGCAAGATCGAAATTTTCATATGGGCACTGTAGTTGCCGTAAGCGTTCAGTGGCACTGGGCTGCAATGTTGTATGAAAACTGCCTAATTTGGGAACAATGGATTTGTATATGTTCAGTGCCACTGGACTGCAATCGGTGTATGAAAACTACCTAATATGGGAGCAGTGGATGTGTAATATAAAACCGTGATTTATCTTCAATGTATTAGAGAAACAAAGCAAAGGGGTTTCTAGGTGGGTTTCTAGGGGTTTGGCGATGCTCGTATGCATTACCATGCCAGCGAAATGCAAAGATTAGCTGTGTTTCCAAAAAACGGTGGCCCGCGTTGCTCAGATTAATTTCAAGTCTGGTTTGCAAAACATTTGTGCACACCTCTCACAGCTAAAACGCGAGTAATAATACCCGTCTATGAATTATACTAACTGTTGTAAGGGGCCTTGCCCAAGATAACATCATTCCGGTTCATCGTCATTACAAAAATCGCGACAAACAAGGATATAGTCTGTCGTGAAATTTATCTGCAGATAGCAAAAGAGGGACAAGATTTTAGGTCTCGGGCAGACCTCACGCGATTTGATCGTCGCGATTCAATCGCTACAGGACAAGTGTTACGAGTTCATTGCATGTCGATCTTCTTGTATTTCGGTTGTGATAGTTAGTCAGGATTTGCCATGTTGAAGAACTACCACAACCGAAATGCAAGAAGATCGGCTTGCAATGATATCTTGTCGCGATCAATCGCGACAATCAAATCGCGTGAACTCTGCCCGAGGCCTTACTCCACATCGATTTTGTTCGAAGAAAGTTATCTAGAAAAGCAAGTAGCAAGTAATGTAACGCCCATTGCTATTCTGAGGATCACTTTTTCTGGTGCCCTGCAGCTAATCGGTTATGGCATTTCAACTCTCGCGCCTTTCCCTTCTCTCCCGAAGTCAATCGACTAACAAGAAAAATTATTTTGTTGGTTTCTTTCTGCTTTAAAGCAAATATTTTTGAATCTTTAACGTGCATCTTGTTTGGGGAGAAACATGTAATAAACTCGTTTTTCAACGCCTTTCGTTGACTGATTACTAAACAAACTCCAGAGACTTCATTAGTGAGGATCATGATGTAGGCTGTTACATCCGAGAGATTGAATTTGACACTCTGCAAGGCCACAGCGTAACCGCCGCGAGAGACCGAGCCGCTAGCGCTGTAAGCACAAATCGAGATAGCTTCTGACTCGGTAACTGGCTCACAGTTGCATCACATTAGTCGTCCTAGCTTGCATAAACATTAGTAACATCGCTTGCATAGCAAAGAGGTGCTTCGCTCTTATACAAAATATTATTTTATGTAATAACTTCGTTGGCATTTTTTGTCTTAGTTTTTTCTTAATCTCTTACAAAGGATTTGCAAGATGTTGTTGGCATTTGGTAGCTCTAAGTCTGTTATAACAAACTGTTTTCATTATCTTCTTAATTCCTTCCTAATTCGATCAAAAAATTCAACTACAAAACGAAAAATCCGAGAAGACGAGATTTTATTAGGTGGGTCCGAAAGTTCGTGCCGTTTTTTAGAACTATTCTAAAATCGTTCAGAATCGAGGTAGACAAACTTTCTAAAACTATCCAATGCGGAATTTCTTCATATTTCCAAAAGTTATGTTTCCGTTGTAACTTCTTCGAAAGGCGCTGAGATAATTGCCGAAAACTAGAACCCTTCATTTTAACCACGTCTAACTTTCGGAACTTTCATTTTGGACTTTAGGGGGCGCCCTGATAACCACCTGATAAGACAAACTTTGGCATTAATGATTTTTTTGCATCTCTCTAGCTTGCTTTCTTGAATTACTAAAATATTTTTTCTGAATTGTCCAAATTTTATGTTTGGCTCATTCCAACCTCGGAAAACATCAGACACTGAACAATTTAGGTACCATTCGATTCATCTTTTTCTCCTCTTTCTGACAGCAACCTTTGCTTCGCGAAAAATGCGACTTTTGCAGACAGAATCGCTGTACCTCCCAATTTTAGGCGTGCGCAAGGTTGTAGTCTAAATTCCAAAATCTACTCAGTTTCACCCCGTTCGCAAATTTAGTTCGTAGTACTAGTGATAGTAATGGGGGACGAGTGGCGTAGTGGTATGAGCGTCGCTATGACCAGATCGAACACAGGTTCGATCCCCGCCCCTGGGCCAACCAAGCCCTCTACCCTCCGGGGCCGGTAAATTGGTACCAGAGTAACCTGAGAGGACAAAAGCACTGACTTGGTAACGGCTGGCCCCCGCAAGTCACTGTAATAGGCTCACACGCATACAATTGCCTCTTCGACTATGAAGTTAGTGTGTGCGTTCGGCGCATGCCCGCAGAGGGTATCGAAGACGCCGAATCCTTTATCCTTTATGCCCCCACAATGGTCGGTCGCCTCATCGTGGCGTGGGGGTGACACTGGGTGTCGAACTGCGATGCACAGCCGAGTGTATACTCTGGTAGGGCCTCCCAAGCTGTGAAGGAGTTCGACGTTTCCGGTTTCGGCCGGATGCCTAGCTAAGAACTGGCCACGCCAGATCCTCCGCCGTCTGGCTTCTTCTGGTCGCTAGGCGGTCCCTCCCCGCTCCAAGCCCGGGGTCAGCGATCGCCCCGTGGAAATCAAGAGTAGGCCTAGTAAGCCACCTCTTGTAGGGGAACAAATTTTATTACTCAGACAGCAAGAAGATTTAGAAAAAACCCTGCACATCGGATCCCGCCTACGGCGCCGGGTGGTAGCAAGAAGATGTCAGGGTACTCAGGGCGCCTTTCGGATTGGACAAAAACGACACGTCTGCCCGGACGACACGCCATGGAGATTGCCTCATGCTCTACACCTACAACGCCAGGAGAGTCTCCACAAACGCCGACCTACACGCTCTTCTCGACGCTGCAGAGCACATCAACTACCACATCATCGCTCTGCAGGAAACGAAGTCCAGGAAGAAGGACGTGCGACAGATGAGTGATGGGACCCTCATCATTCGTGGTGAAAAGGTTCCATCACGAAACGTGGGAGGCGTCGGCTTTGTCGTCCACCCATCTATCGTCCATCTTGTCGATTCGCACGAGATCCTATCACCTCGACTAGGCATCCTACGACTACGACCTCTACATCAGAAGACCATCAGCATCATCAACTGCTATTCTCCAACATCAGCAGCTGACGAATCAGAACTAGATGCTTTCTACGAAGATGTGGAGGAGGTCGTCCGCAACGAGAAGTCCTTTTATAAGTTTGTTGTGGGCAACTTCAACGCGGAAATCGGGATGCCATTGGAAAAGGAATTTAGGATTGGGAAGTTTGGATATGGGCTCCGGAACGAAAACGGCAACCGTCTTGTTGGGCTTCTCTCCGCCGCACGACTTTTCCATGGAAATTCCATCTTTATGAAGAAAGAACATCGCCGGTGGACATGGGAATCGCCCAACGGAACGACTCACGCGGAGATCGACCACATTCTCACCAACCGAAGGTGGAGCTTGCTCGATATCTCAGTAGTTCCATCCTTCTGCAGTGGCTCCGATCACCGCCTCCTTCGAGCGAAGGTACGATTCAGTCGAAGACTGGAAAAGAAGGTCTGCCACAGTGCCGCAAGAAGGAAGAATGTCGTTTATGACGGTAACAGGCTGGAGGAGCTCATATCAAGTTGTGACTGGCCCATCGAGGAGGACCCAACGTACGACTACGACCGGCTTCTGAAAGGATTGCGAGCCTGCGAAGAGTGCGCCTCAGTGACTTCCGAGAAGTATGTTGAACGCGTTTCGAAGACCACCAAGGAAATGCTTGAAAGAAGAAGATTCTGAGGCAGGATCCGAATGCAACCCATCTCGAGCGACTGATAGCCAACGCCAGTTGCAGAACAGCTTTGCAGGAGGATCTCAGGAAGTACAGGCAAGCCAAGATACTGGAAGCAGCCGAAGGAAGACGAAGTCTCAAGAAGTGCCGAAGGGACCTCTGTGAATATCGCGTACCGCTGGCTGCACTACTGAACGAAGACGAAACTCCGACTTCTTCCCGATACAAGATGGAATCTATCGCGAAGAACTTCTATACCAACCTCTTCCGCACATCAACACCCGTGCCGATGCCCGTTGTTCCCACTGGAGAAGTACCACCACAAATTCTACCTGCTGAAGTGCGCACAGCGATTCAGACCATGAAGACGTCCACGGCTCCAGGACCAGACCATCTTTCCGTCGAATTTCTGCGAGCTGGAGGACAACGTCTACACGAGATCCTCGCGTCGCACCTAACAACTTACCTTCAGAAGGAAAGGATTCCCGACCAGTGGAGAACATCAAGACCGTCCTTCTTTTCAAGAAGGGTGAACAGGAAGATCTTCGGAACTACCGTCCAATATGCCTGCTGAGTGTGCTGTACAAGCTTTTCACGAAGATTATCCTCGCTCGCATATCTAGAACACTGGATGAAGCCCAACCCCAAGAACAAGCTGGATTTCGCAAAGGATTCAGCTGCATGGACCACATCCAGACGGTTTCGAGGTTCATAGAAGTCTGCCGGGAATACCGACTGCCTCTCGTCCTAACCTTTGTCGACTATGAGAAAGCCTTTGACAGCGTCGAAACCAACGCCATCCTGTCTGCGCTAGTTGATCAAGGAGTGGACCCAGCTTACGTGAGGACGTTAGCCGACTGTTACAAGGACTGTACAACGACGATGCAGCTATTCCATCGCCCCCTGACCATCCCATTTGGAAAGGGGGTTCGACAAGGCGACACAATTTCGCCGAAGCTGTTCACCGCGGCCTTGCAGTGGGTGATGAAGTCACTGGACTGGGACGAGAGAGGCATACGAGTTGATGGGAGATTCCTGTCGAACCTTCGTTTTGCGGACGACATCGTTCTCTTTTCGAGCAGTATCACTGAAGCAGAGACGATGCTGAAGGAACTGAACCAAGTAAGGAAGAAGATCGGATTGCGAATCAATCGGAAGAAGACTCAGTTCATGAAGAACGCCCTTTGCGAAGATGCAGAAATGGAATTGGAAGGTACCCCTATCACGGAGACGTCTTCTTACGTGTATCTCGG